TTTTTTTTCTTTTAGCACTCTTTTTTTTTTTTTTTTTAAGATTTTATTTATTTACCCGATAGAGAAAGACACAGCGAGAGAGGGAACACAAACCGGGAGCGGGAGAGGGAGAAGCAGACTCCCTGCCGAGCAGGGAGCCCGATGCGGGACTCGATCCCGGGATTCCAGCATCATGACCTGAGCCGAAGGCAGTCGCTTAACCAACTGAGCCACCCAGGCGCCCTCTTTTAGCACTCTTAATGCATTGACCCAGTATCTTCTAGCCTACAAATTTTGATAAGAAATCTGCACATATTCTCATGGAGGATCCCTTTTATGTGATGATTTTCTTCTCTGTTGCTGCTTTCAAGATTCATTCTTTGTCTTTGTCTTTTAAACGTTTGATTATAATGTGTCTCAGGGTGGGTCTCTTGAGTTCATACTGCTTGGAGTTTGCTGAACTTTTTGGATGTTTATACTCATGTCTTCCCTCAAGTTTGGAAAGTTTTCAGCCTTTTATTTCTTCAGATATTCGCTCTGCCCCTTTCTCTCTTTCTTCGGGCTCCTTCCGGGATGCTACAATGTATATGTTGGTCTACTTGATTGTGTCTCAGAGGTCCCTTTAGGTTCTGCTCGCTTTTCTTCAATCTTTTTTCCTTCTGTTCCTCAACCTGGATAATTTCCACTGTCCTATCTTCAAGTTCAGGAAGTCTTCTGTCTGCTCAAATCTGCCTTTGAATCCCCCTAGTGAATTTTTCATTTCAGTTGTGGTATTTTCAGCTCTAGAATTTCTTTTTAGGTTTTCAGTCTTCTTGTTGGTATTTCCATTTTGTCCATACATCCTTTTCTTGACTTTCTCCACCTTTAGGACCATTGTTTTAGAATGTTTGTCTAATAGATCTGCCATTAAATCTTTCTCACAGATTCTGTTGAAATTTTTTCCTTTGAATGGGTCATACTTTCCTGTTTGTATATCTTGTGATATTTTGTGAAACACTGGACATTTGAATCTAAAATGTGTAACTGTGGAAATCGGATTCTCCCTCTTCCCCAGGGTTTGCTATTTTTTGTTGTTTTTATTATTGTAGGTTCTGTGCAGAGATCATCCTGAGGTATAAACAATGTCTTCTTATGTCTCTTCTAGAGCCTTTCCTTGGGCATTCGTGGCCACTTTCTCATTTTCCTTGTACATGCAGCTGTTTTTTAATGTCCTAGTCTTTAATGTCTGGCTCCCAAAAGGGGAAAAGCAAAAGTGAGGTTGGGGTGGGGGTGGTGGTGAGTCCTGGCCCTTTAAATCTCTTGAAAGTCACTTCAGCTGGAGGGCGAAGGGATTCCAGCAGCGGAGGAGATGCAGCCAGAGCGACTGCCTGCCTCTTTGCCTGCACCTCTGTGATCAAAACTAGCAATCAGCAATCAAAGCACAGATCCCCAGTATTGGGAAGACAGGGTCCTTTTTACCCATCCTAGCTCCTGTAAGTTGTGTGCAAGATGTTCCCATGGTGGGGGTGGGGGATGGGTAGCTGCCACTGTGTGAGGAGCTAGAATTTACTGTCCAAGCCTTCCCCGGCAAGCTGCAAGCCTTCAACAGACTTGAGTTCCAAGTAGTTACATCAGACAGGTTCTGCCAGTGCAATTGTGGCCTCCCTGGGGGACAGATTTCGGGTGCTTCCTGCTCCTCCAACTTCCCAGAATCCTCACTGCTTGACTGCCTTGGATTTACCAGTGGCTTTCAACCGATCTCTTCCACTGTAATAGCTCTCACCCCACACAGGTCAGGGAACCCATGCGGGGATACTGACAGTTCCGGAGAATAGCTACTTTAATTAGATACTTCCCGAGCTGGGGCAATAACCACAGGATGGTTTGGGGGCCCACAGAACCAGCTGTGAGACAGACCTAACACCCTAGGCACCTGACCTGCATGAACCCTGCTTGGACTGGAGGGGCCACAGTGATGCTTGTGGTCTCCTGGGTTCAGTGTCAATCCAGTCCATGTCCAGGTAGTCCTGAGGGTCTGTGTCCTCTCCAGCACACAGGTGCGCTGCTCCAAGGCCATCAGTCCCCTGGGTGAAGGTTGGGAGAAAGGCTAACTATAAATTTTTTGGCAGTGTACTTGGGTTCTCACTCAAGGGGACCACGCCTCCTCTGCATCCAAGGAGTTCTGGGTTTGTAAACTGGCTCGTCTGGGAACTGATTGAGGGGCCAGGGTTCTCTGTTTTTGATTCAAATAAAATTTTTGTTCACTTGACCTTAGAACTAACTCTTCCATTTATACAAATCAAGAATTTATGAGGCTTCCATGCATTTCATCTAGTCCTCTTGTTGGCCCATAGCAAGCATTTGCAAGAGATCAGCTAGTGATAGAAGCAAAAAGTTAACATTATGCTCAAACCAACTAAGCCACTAATTGGTCAGGATCAAAAGTGTTAAATCATCTTTTTTTTTTTTTATTACAACAGTTTGTTCAGTTTTAGTCTGGGGAACTTGTAATGAAAATGTAGCACTCCTGCACTGAGTCAACACTAAATGAGGCCCAATTCAGTCTTAGAGGGTTTGTCTCTTCTTTCTCCAATTCATAAAATAAAAAGCAGTTTGGCAAGAGTAGCCCTGGAAAGTGGAGAGAACTGTGCCAGGCTCAGTGAGAGTAGCAGTTTTTTGTTTTTAATTTTTTTTAAAGATTTATCAGAGAGGGAGAGAGGGCACGAGCAGGGGGGAACGGCAGGCAGAAGGAGAGGAAGAAGCAGGCTCACCACTGAGCAGGGAGCCGGACTTGGGGCTCGATACCAGGACCCTGAGATCATGACCTGAGCCGAAGGCAGATGCTTCACCCGCTGAGCCACCCAGGCACCCCAGGGTAGCAGTTTAATAGGAAACAGGGAGCATTTTCTTAGGGAAGAAAAAACAATGAGCAGAGTGGGGTTGGAAGGTTGCTTGAGGAAGGTATGGTTTGCCAATGTTAGGCCTTAAATGTGCAACATAAAATCAGTCTTGTGGAGACCTGATTTCAGTGTGTAAAGGGTGAGTGGGGGTTGACAGTGAGTCCTGACACTACAGGCAGTTTACTGTACTAAGAAACGTACACGGTGATGAGGGCCTAGACCAATGAGGAGGTAACAAGTAACACTGCTGAAGAAAGCTAGCTTGCAATAGGCCAAGCAGAGAAATCAAAACCCCAAATTTCAAGCCCAGGTCTGGTAGGCAGAGTGGCTCCAAAAGATGCCAGGCCCTATGACTATGGCAGTTTGTATGGCAAAGGAGATTTAGGGCTACTAATCAGCTGACTTTAAAATTGGGAGATCAGCTTAGATTATCTGGGTCGCCTAATGTAAACACAAGGGTCTTTACATGGAAGAGGGAAGCAGGAGCCAATAGAAAATGTAAAGGGGAGGGAACGGATACTCTTCTACTTTGGCCCAGTGAACTACAGAAATGTAAGGAAACAAATTTGTGTTGTTGTAAGCAACTGAATTTCATGTTATTTGTTATGGCAGCAATAGGAGACTAACACTGCATACTCAAAATTACTCGACAGAAACAGCTAGACGGAGAAAAGGGGATAATTTCAGGGTGTTTAAGGTCTAGGGATGTAACGCAGCTTAAAAGATGCCCTTCATTTTGGGTTGTTTGTAGATCTTACTTGGTAAGCATCCTTCTGTTTTCATCTAAGACAAAGCTGTAGAATCCACACCAATATTAAAAACAAAAGGAGGGTGGTGCCTGGTTGGCCCAACTGGCGAAGCATGAGACTCTAGATCTTGGAAATGTGGATTCGAGCCCCATGTTGGGAGTAGACATGACTTAAAAATTTTTTAAAAGTCTTAAAAAACAAAACAAAAGCAGTATCTGCTACAGACACATCCCAGTTCAGGTACTGAGGAGTCCAATTAATGAAAATTCAGTAGGTCACCTAAAATACATTAGTGTCAGGTCCATGAATGTTGACTGAAAGATGGTACACTAATTTTTCATATTATATAAAAAATAGTTGTAATTACATAGATAAATGAGAAAATGAAAATGTAGACGGGGTCACATTGACTAGAGGGATGCTACTGTATTGGAGGCAAAATTGCCAAGGTTAAAAAAAAGGGGGGTATTAGGTTATTCTGACCCTGAGGTAAAATGAGAAAAAAGTGGAAAGCCGTAAGTGAGGTGAACCAAGAACACAGTGGCTTAACCAAAGGCCAAAACTATTCGTGCATCTCCTACTTTAGCATAATATCCTCTGTATTATGAAAAAACCCACCTAAGATGGCAAGTCACGGGAACTAGTTGGCTCCACCTTGAGCAAAGGTCTAGGAAGGATTCTGTGAGAAGTTTGCACCAGAAGTGTAAAGTCCTAAGGAAAATAATGTTACACAAAACAGTTGGTTTGAGACTGCAGGCTTCAAAAGGGTTTCTGGGTGCTGCACACCTTTGTCTTTTCCAGTCATAATTTTAACTGAGTCCGTATAGATGAGAACAAGACCACTGTCTTACCTAAGGTATCCTTAGACACCTAGAAGGAAACTCCAGTACTGGAAGCTTGTTCTCAAGGGGTCCAGTGTAAACGGACAACAGCATCAACTACTCACCAAAGAGGTGAGACCTGGAGCCTGTAAGATCCTCCCAGAATGCTATAAACACTAAGAGCTTCCCAGGAGTCTATAAACACGAAGCCTTCTCAATTGGCATATTAATTTAGATGCTATGATAAAAAAGTGCTCGCTGTTCAAAAATGTCTGGGAACAGCTTAATTAAAGATAGTCTCTCAACCCTTGGCTGCACAGGAGAATCCTTATGTCACTAAATGCTTCACACTGTTTTTACACAAGTCAGCCAGGATGTGGATCTTCCACAAGGAGCACCGTTGAGTGTAGCGTTTCCCTCACTTACCTGACCACAGAACTGAGAAAACATAGCTTAGAAAATGCTGGGAAAATGGGAAAATCAGCATGCTGAGAACAGGGGGAACAGGAAAAAAATCATGGTACCTGGGTATCGTACAATGAAAATTACACAAAAGAAAACACACACGAGGATGCTACTGACATGAAAGCCTCTGTTTTTAATTTGGTTGATACACATTTGACAAAATATTTCAGAACAAAATAATCCACGAACAGGCACAAGGTATTTACAGTGACAACTGTGGAAAACATACAATTGACGTCTCTCAAACACAAATGTCTACTTACAAAATTTTCTACCGTGAATCTGGAAGACTCTCAGTTCCTACTCATTACCAGGTCTGAACCCCCTAGGTGGCGTGTGAGGCCCAGGGAGCAGGAAGTACAGTTCTGACACATTTGGCAGTCAAGGATCATCTATTGGTGTGAGCTCACAGAGAAGAGAAGAGACAGAACTGGGGGTGGGGTGGGGAAGGCGGTGCAGAATGGAAGACTCAGAAGGAAACAGCTAAAGATAAGACCTAAGTCACACTCATCTTTCCCAGTTTCCTAGAGAAGGCTGCAAACCTTTTAAAACTTACTCAACATCTATTTAGCAGAAAATCAGCAACCCTGAGACTCCAATTTTCCATGACATAAAAGCTAATAAACATCTAGAGCTGCTCAAGATTTGTAATAAACTAACTGTATATGACCAAATAGGAACTTCAAAATACCTTTTATGATCTGAAAATACATTTAAGGAAAGAGAAAAAAATTTCTCAAATTTTTCATGCCTAATTCTTAAACATTCCAACTATTAATTTCCATTGTCTGAAGTTAGTTTCACAAAAAAAAGATACACTTTGACTAGATGTTTTAAATTGAGTACAACTTGCTCTTGATAAGTGGACCACCTACATCTTCATATTATTCAAATATTTTTAAAAGAAATCAGAGAAATTTTACCCATCTGGAATATAGTTATGAATTTATTGACTTACAAGATAGCCACATAAACAGAGACCATGAAAAAAAGAACCAAATGCGAATTATTCTTTGTAACACTACTGAGACAACTGAACACAGTACACCATACACATCAACATCTACTGACCCACTTACACTATTTAACTCTGCTTTACACAGTTTCAACAAACAACTTTGTAGATCATATATCCACACCATGTGTAAAAATCAAATGTGCTGCTCCTCCAGGGGCTGTTCAAGAGCTTCCATGAGCTTTTTATTTGCTTCCTCATTATGCCGGCTTTGACAGTGAGTTAAATGTTTCTTAAAGCCTCTTGGGAAATTTGATTCAAAATTACAACGTGGACACTTAAGTAAACTCTGCCCATGGGCTGCTACATGATTTTTAAGGAGAGATTCCAAAAGAAAAGCCTTTCCACAAATTGTACATTTGTAAGGGCTATGAACATTATGCTTATTAACCAAATGATGCAAAACCGCACCTTTTTTCATAGCTCGACAGCAACAAATTTTGCAATAATACTTTCCTTTTCCACGCTTCATATACTTTGCAATCTCTTCCTCAGAGATAAAGGCCTCTTTCTCTTCAGTAAATTGTAACACATTTTTGGACTGCTCTGGACTAGTCACGTCCATTTTGTTCTCTTTACTAAAATCAATAGATTCTACATCAACCTGCTCTTGATCACTGCTTGATTCTTGGCCCTTGCTGTCTATCACATCTAAATCTGCTTTTATATACTCACTGCTACTAAGCTCAGCATCGGAGTTCTCTTGGTTGTCTTTCTTGAGCTTCTTTGAGGAAGGAAATAAAGTGTCTTCTAAGAGTTTCTTAGGTGTAGCTAGTAGTTCTTCCTGAACCAAAATATCACACTTTTGATCATCTATGGCATCTGTCTGTAGTTCATCACCAAGCTCAACTGCTTTCTGAGATTCTGAGAAGATAGCAGATTTGGGAAGTTCAGGGAAAAGGGCATGTTTCCGGGGCTCTGGAAAAAGAGCACGTTTTCGTGGTTCAGGAGAAGCTGGAGGGGCTGTTTTGGTGGGCTCAGAAAACAGGGCAGGTTTCCTAGGTTCGGTATCAAGAGAGAGAACAGGCTTCCAGATATCGGAGGCTGCCTTAGGGGACTCAGATGGTCCAGAAGGTTTCCGAGGTTCAATAAAAAAGGAAGACTTCCAGAGATCAGGGGAACCACCACGGGAACTTTTCTGGGACTCGGGAAAATCAAGTGAAGCAGGGGAAGTTTTTCGCTGATCAGGAGAAAGCTTCCAAAGCTCTGGAGACCCTGAAGGTTTTCTGAGCTCTGGAGATCCCGCTGGACTGCGGATCTCTGGGGACAATGGTGGGCCTGGTTTGCGAAGCTCAGGAGACAAGGGAGGTCCTGCTTTACGAAGCTCAGGGGACACTGAGGGAACTGTCTTCCAATGTTCAGGTGACAAGGTGGGAGTTGTCTTTCGGAGTTCTGGCGGGCCAGACTTCCACGACTCAGGAGATGCAGGGGGAGACTTCCAGGAACCAGGTGAGACCGACGATGACTTCCAGGATGCGGGGGACACAGAGGAAGCTGGTTTCCATGGCCCAGGTGAGATAGAAGGAATTGGCTTCCAAGGACCGGGAGACACAGATGGAGCAGGTTTAGCTGGCTTCCAAGGTCCCGATGACGCCGAAGGACTGGATTTCCAAGACCTTGGGGACCCAGGTGGCCCTGGCTTCCAAGAACCTGGTGACACAGCTGGGGCTGGTCTTCTGGGCTCTGGGGAGACAGCAGGGAATGGCTTCCAAGGTTCAGGAGACTCCGATGGGGATGGCTTCCTTGGCTCAGGGGAGATAGTCCGGGCTGGTTTCCGAGACTCTGGAGATGCAGTTGGGGATGGACCCCAAGGTTCAGGGGAAGCAGCCAAAACTGGTGACTCTGGAGATGAGCCTGAAGGTGGCCCCAATGTTTCTGGGAAATGGGAGTGTTTCTGGGGTTTAGGATTAATAAGAGTGGCCTTTACTGGCTCAGGAGATATAGGGGCAAGTTTCTGTGGTTCTGGAGAAGGAATAGGGACTGGTTTCTGAGACTCAGAAACAATAGGGACTGGTTTTGGAAGTTCAGGAGAAGAAATAGAGGCAGATTTTGGAGGCTCAGGAGAAGGAAGAGAAGGTGTCTGTGGCTCAGGAGAAACAACAGGGCCAGGCTTCTGAGGCTCCAGGGAAGTGAGAGGTGTAGGTTTTGGTGATTCTGGAGACAAAATTGGGCCAAGTTTCTGTGTTTCTAGAGAAAGGGCAGGTATGGGTTTTGGGAGTTCTGCTGAATTAGAGGGTATTTTCTGGTGTTCAGGAAGAGGAGGGCTTTTCCCAGGATCTGTTTCTTTGCTTAGCTGATTTTTTGGTTTCTCATTCCACTTCTCTGGGCCTGCATGTTTGGATGTGATGTGATAGTACACATTAGAGTACATCTTACTGGTGAAGAAGCACTTATGGCAGTGGAATAGCTTTGCACTTTTCTGGTAAAATATCATTTTACCTAACCCACCAGCATCCATTTCATCACAAAATTCTGGATGGATGGTGCCCATGTGGATTTGCACGTTTTCATAATCCGTGCCTCGGAAACTGCAGTGGTCACACTCCAAACGTGAGGACGGTTTACGGAGTTCCTGGAATACTTCCATTTCTCTTTCTGTCACAACACACACGATTATATTCTGTAAAAACTTTCAACAGTGCTGCAATAAAGTAGAAATTAATTATTTTCAGGGGACATAATTTTGAATAAAATGCTCTTCTCCATCCATTCCATAACCGCGTAATTTTAAGTCTGGAATGACATGTGCATTTATCAGATAATACCTCAATAAAGATTCTGAAGAGAAAAAAGAGAGACGGAACTAATTTTTAACTGAGCCCCAGGAACTCCTACTTTTAGAGGTATCACCTCATGTAATCCTCCTAACACTATGACTTTCATTTGTAGATGGAGAAAAAGGTTCAGAGAGGTGCCTCACCCAGGTTATAACAGTGACCCAAACCCGACCTAGCATGTGCCTTACATCTTGACTCTGAAACCCGAAATCAACAAGCTATCAGCATATAAAGCTCAGCCAACACCGTAGTAAAGCTAGGCAGTTTAAGGCTGAGCAAGAAACTAGCTCCACTTCAGAGAGCATTTGTTTAACTAAAATTATGAAAAGATGGCTTTTTAAAAATATCAACACATTTTGTAATGTTTTATCCATCCTAATATCAAGTACTTTATTCATTCATTTAATAAAATAATTTTTCTGTGAAAATAATTATTTTCTGTGCCCTGTTTTTCTAGGCACTTGGGTTTAAAGAGATGTCTTGTACTATGGTGCTTACATTAGGTGCAAAGCCAAGTGTGAACACAGAGAAGGCTGTCAAGGAAAGACACTTGAGCATAGATCCTGAACGATGTAAAGGAGTTTGCCTAGCAAAGGGCAATTCAGATAGAGGACACGTGAGGCAGGAACTTGCTTGCCAGTAATTACGACTTTTTAAAAGTTTAAGCAAGTGTTCTAGGGTGGTGAAAAGTAACAGGAGCTCGTAGTTAAAAATGCACTCATTCATGCAGAACAACATATTTACACAGTATCACTTGTTCTATGTACACACCATCTCCCACAAACACATCCTACACAAGTGGGATATTAAACACACTGATCTGCAACTTGCTTTCATTTAAGGAAGAGAAGGTGGCTCAGAAGAAGACCAGGCTCCTGAGGCTTCAGGGCGAGAAGAGGAGGTTTCGGTGATTCTAGAAACCAAAGTAGGCCAAGTTTACGTGTTTCTACTTAGAGAGTTCTTTGTTTCTACTTATTTAGAGAATAAGCACTAAATTTCCTTGTGCATATCTTGAATATGAGGGTATTTCTGAAGGGAAAATTCCTAGAAGTGAATTATCTGGTTCAAAGGCGATTTACATTTAAAATTGACAAACTTCATGAAACTCTCAAAAAATTCCAGTACTATGACATACCAACCAAAAGCGTATATACCAGGGACAATTCCCCAACTCCCTCATCAATAATGAGCATTATTAAACTTCTATCTTTGCTACTTCTCGGGTAAAAACTGGAGTCTGAGCAGTGTTTTAAGGTGCTTTTCTTTAATGAGAAAGAGTGAACATTTTCCCTTGTTGATTAGCCATGTGTATTTCTTCTGTAGGATGTGCCTCGTCCATTTAATTATTTGTAAATAGTCTGCATAAAAGAAGTCAACCCTTTACTGAAAATATTTTCCTAGTTTATCATGTCTCTTGACTTTATGGTATGTATGTGTACATATATATGTGCTTTTTTTCCACACTGAACTGGTTTAAGGTGTTTTCCTTATGATTGTTATAAATTATGCTTTCCCACTCCATTACTTTTTAAAGCAGTCAGTATTTTTTTCCTATGATTTTGAGGATTTCATTCTTTTTACAATTTGTATTTTTTGGTGGGGGGCAGAGGGAATAAGAACCTTAAGCAGGCTCCATGCCCAGGGTGGCAGAGCTCCACTCGGGGTGAGCCACCCAGGCGCCCCTTTACATTTGTATTTTTTACTCTATCTGGTAAAAAGAGATAGGGATTCAGCCTGTTTTTTCACCCCAAATGGACAGCTGTCTCTCCAACCCTTTTCCTCACTGATATGTAATGTTCCATCTACCATTTACTAAATTTTGTGTTTATGAATCCATTCTGGACTCTCTTTATTTTTTAATTTTTTTTTTGGCAATCTCTATCCCCAACATGGGGCTCGAACTCATGACCCCGAGATCAAGAGTTGCACACACTTCCAACTGAGCCAGCCAGGTGCCTCTGGACTCTATTCTATTCTCTACCAGTTCCATCTGGTATGCTCTTCTCAGCATGGGAACCCAACAACTGCTAAGAGAGATTCTGTAACATACACAGTGAGTTTATCCAAGTGAATCACAAAGTCTTTTCTCATTAAATTATGTCCCATCCTTTACCAAAAGTATCCGCTACCACCAAAAGCATGCAATGTGTTCTGTGCCAAGAGTAATTACAGGGTCAAAACGTATTCCTTCCACGTTACTGCTCCTCAAAATACAGTACAGATTAGAGACATTTATTTATATTCAGAGTCTCCCCCTTTAGTAATTTCAAAAACAGGAGCGCCTGGGTGGCTCAGTCGTTGAGCTTCTGCCTTCAGCTCAGGTCATGATCCCTGCTTCTCCCTCTCCCACTCCCCCTGCTTGCTCTCTCTGTCAAATGAATAAATAAAATCTTTAAAAAAATAATAATTTTTAAAACATTAACTTAAAAAACTTAACATTTCTAATTCTGATAACTTGTTTTGAAGATGTTATTACTGATATTGTTTTCTATCACCCATATCATTAGTATATCATTTGCATTTTGGGGGAGTGGTCTAAATTTAAAAAGGTGACAGGACAGTTGAGGAAACAAACAAGTGCTTTTCAGAAAGTATTAGCCCCTTCTGAATTACCCTGCAACTATCCTGGCCTTTAGAGAATTGTTTTTAGGGCTATATGGGCTAAAAAAAGAATATAATCACTTAGTACTGAAGAAAAATCTCTGAAAAGAATCTTCAACTCACAAACATAGTGAAGAAAACATGTAGAAAGAATGTGCAGGTTAACGATCCACCTCAGACCCAACGTCTCGTAAAACTAGAAGAATGTTAAAAGAAAAGGCAGTAGTATCTCAATATGCCCGTCTGGCCGTAAGTGGCCATGATGAACAGTCAAGGGATGTTCATATTAAATAAGGGGGACATTACATATTAAACCACATCATTATATTATAATGAGCCCTATATCAAATATATTACAACACAAAGGTTAAGACCTCAGGCTTGCTGGATTTGAGTGAGTCCTGGTTCCACTATATGGCTTTGTTGAGTTGCCGAACCTTCCTATGCTTCAGTTTCCTGGACTCTACAATGGATGTTAATATTGTGTAGCATACTTGGAACAGTATCTCATGGTGAGCCCTCAGTGTCAGCTATGATTATTATATTAGAAACTCTAAGGGTAGCCCGTAACCCTAACCCTACTCATGACAGGAAGAGAGGCTCTATACTTTAACGATTTGAGTTTCTTAAGCTTAAACGAACCGTTAACTATGGAGACTTTTCCCATCTTCTCAAGAAACTGGTGTACAGGGGCGCCTGAGTGGCTCAGTCAATTAAGCATCTGCCAGGGTCCTGGGATCGAGCCCCACGTCGGGCTTTCTGCTCAGCGGGAGGCTGCTTCTCCCTCGCCCTGCTGCTCCCCCTGTTTATACTCTCTCTCTCTGTCAAATACATAAATACAATCTTAAAAAAAAAAGAAACTGGTGTACAGTAGGAGAAAGTATCTTACTTAGTGACCTCTCTCCTCTCTTTGCCTAATTTATAGTCCCATCAACAAAACAACCTTCTTCATTTCCTGTATGTTAACTCATCAACTTTTTACCAATAACTCATAAAATAGAGGCTGTCAATAAGCCCAGTAAGTGTAAGGGTATAGCATTTTCTTATATTCCCACAGAAATTACTGAGCACACTATGCTATCATCAGGTTGGTTTTTAAAAAATGCTTCCGGCAAACTTACCAAATAAAAAATCAACATCTCTATTTTTTTTTTTTAAAGATTTTATTTATTTATTTATTTGACAGAGAGAGACACAGCAAGAGAGGGTACATAAGCAGGGGGAGAGGGAGAAGCAGGCTCCCCGCCGAGCAGGGAGCCCAATGCGGGGCTCGATCCCAGGACCCTGGGATCATGACCTGAGCTGAAAGACACTTAACCGAGGGAGCCACCCAGGTGCCCCCAAACCTGACATCTCTAACACAGCGCAACAAGTGGAGACCTGGTCTCCTCTTCAGCCACACCCTCTATCCCAACTCCTACCCAAGTGCTGTGGTTCCTTTCGACAGGCAAAGCTCTACCGCTGTTTCTCCTTATTTCTACTTTCCATTGGCTGTATCTCTGTTTCTTGCCTCTCTGGAAATTCTACACTAACCCTACATTTTACAGCTGCTCCTGTAAATTACTCTATCTTTGATGAATACCACTTAGCCTAAATCTTGCTGCTTTTGCCCCCGTGGCCTCCAGTCACCTCAGCTTCTCAGGTTGGACTGACTCCCTTTTGTCCTTAATTGCTGTCTGGTAAATCATCAGCTCTCCCACCCTTCATCTAGTGCCACTCAATCAGTTCCTCAACCATCCTGTTCCCTCTCAGTCTGTGTTAAACCCCATGGCTCCTCAGATGTTCCCTCTCTCCCCCACCTGCCCCTCCCTATTTCCTCTTCCTATCACCAACTCTTCTGGCCAGTCTACCCAAACCTGCCTACTCCCAAGCCTCATTATCATAGCTTAATAACGTCTTACTTAAAAAAAAAAAAAAAAAAAAAAGAATTGTACAAAATTCACTTCTCAAACCTTATCATATATATGCATATCTAGCACACATTCATGCACCATTATGTATGAGCATACATGCTTTTATAGATTTTCCTTAAGTAAGCACTTTTCAAAAATGTTCATATCTTAAAAATATTCTCCCAAACGTTAAAAGGCAAACAAAAACATATGCAAAGTAAAACTGGTAGAATAACACTATAAATCCAGGACAAGTACGTTTAGAGCAGGTAAGAAATAAAGACCAACAGGCTTTTCTCTGGTAGACTTACCAGCTTATCTTCCTAGAAGTCTTAAAAAGTATGTCTTCAAAGGGCAGGCAAGTCTACATGGCTTCTGAGTTAACTACAGAAAATAGCCTGTAGTACATGAAGAACAAAGATGAGAGTTGACCTGAAAAAAAAAAGAAGGGAAGTGTAATCAAAACTACATTTCTGTGATAATCTGTGCCCCTGTAAAAGAATTCTGCCTATTTCTCCTGCTGTCCTGCTCCCTGCAACAGTAACAGGGGTCCAATCCACTTGCTTTAATGTAATAATACCAAAGATGACCATGGATTCTACCCATGACACCACCCACATCTAATTCTACTTCAAAATCCACTATGGAATTAATGCCTTTGTCTACAACCACAGCACTCTTGAACCCACCATCTCACTTGAGCTGACAGGACAGCACTCAGCAGACTGCTGCTGTGACCACAGACTACAGGAGCAGCTCATGTTTGGTCCCTTATCCACACTACACTGCAGAGCAGCAAAGTACCAGGCAGTGAGGAAGGGACAAGATAATCAACAGGACAAAGGGGCAAAGAAGGAAGAGGCTTCGGGGGACAAGGAAGGACAGTGGTGCTTCAGTGACTGCTCGGGCCTCTTCCCAAGTGGATTTCATTTTTTTTTTAAAAGATTTTATTTATTCATTTGACAGAGAGAGAGGGAACACAAGCAGGGGGAGTGGGAGAGGGAGAAGCAGGCTCCCAGCAGGCCTCCCACGAGCAGGGAGCCCGATGCGGGGCTCGATCCCAGGACCCTGGGATCATGACCCGAGCCGAAGGCAGACGCCCAAAGACTGAGCCACCCAGGCGCCCCTCAAGTGGATTTCAAAGAGAGTGTCAGGGTCTGCGTAAGTTGTTGACTTGAAAGGAAGAAAACTGGCCACGAACAAGCTAGGTTAGCTCACAACACATTTCTGCTGTTAAGTTCCGGCACATTTCTCTACCTGTGGTCAATTGCTGAAATTCTGATAGCTGTGCTCTCCCCGCCTGCAGTCTCACTTCCTTGCAATCCACTCACCACACAGTTTCCAGTCATGTTCCAAACACAAAAACCTAATGGCATTTGCCTGCTCACAATTCCTCAAAGTATCCCCAACACCTGCAGCACACAAAACCACAGCATATAAAGCTCTTCACCATCTGTCTGGCCCCTGACTGGACCACATTCTCTAAATACTGACCCACCTGTAATTCCACTACAAACTAAGACTCTGGACCTTCACACAAGCATTTACTCTTCTTTACACTCCCCATCTTGCTACCCAGCCATCAGGCAAGTTTCCCCATCCTTCAGGCAGATACTTCTTAAATAATGGCCGCCCCGGCCCCAATCCTCTTTGTGTGCACACCTCCAGTGTAGCCATCACTCTTTGGTACTACCAGAGTCTGGCTCTCAGAGGGCAGGGACTACCCATTCACCCCTGTAACCCTTGCACATCCCTGGCACATGGTATATGCTCAGAAAGTATCTGTTCATTACCTCTAAAACATCCCATCATGAAGACTAGAGACCTAATCTTAGATTCACAGGATTTTATTTTTTATTTTTTTTTTAAGATTTTATTTATTTATTAGAGAGAGGAGAATGAGATAAAGCATGAGGGGGGGAGGGTCAGAGGGAGAAGCAGACTCCCCGCTGAGCAGGGAGCCCGATGAGGGGACTCGATCCCCGGACTCCAGGATCATGACCTGAGCCGAAGGCAGTTGCTTAACCAACTGAGCCACCCAGGCGCCCGATTCACAGGATTTTAAAACTAGAAGTGACCTGAGCTACCCTCTAGTTTTCAAATCACTGGGATTTCGAGCAGAAAGACCTCAGGGATCATCTACTTTAAAACTTCAATTTATAGCTGAGGAAATTCAAACGTAGACATTAAGTAATTTGCTGAAGATGAAGCAGATAATCAGCATCTGACAAAGGACCAGATTAAAGTTCTGCCATTTATCCAGGTTCTTTCTAATATATCTTGACTAAACTAATGCACTGAAACCTATAAGACCTTGACAAGCCAGTATAATGGGCAAAATCTGTGGATGAATCCACAGAGAACTGCATTCCACAGTCTGCACTGGACAGAATGTCCCAATGGATCACTGTCTCCAGCTCTGGGTAGGAAGGACACTTTGAGTTCCTAACACTAGGCAACATGCAAAAGAAAGCGAGCAACCACGATGGCAGGCAGTCTTTAAAAACACGTCTTTTGTGAGTACAGAAACTGACCAACTTCAATATGTAATGTGTCCTAGAAGCAACAAGTGGAAGCTAGCAGGGAAACAGATTCCAGCTCAAGATAAAGTTTTACACACTACTCAGTCACGGACTAAAATGAGTTGCTTTGCCAGGTAGGAGCCCTCCATAATTATAAGCCAATGGCCAGTATAGGAAAGGATCCTCAGAGGGCTTGAGTCCAAACTCTCCACTTTACAACGGAGAAAACTGATGCTGATGGAGAAAAGTACTTGAGATCACAACACTTAGGTCAGAGGAAGCAACAGAAGATCCTGATTTCCTGATTCTGGATCTCTGCTGAAATACCATGAGGTCTTTCCCATGGGCACGCTGCAACAATGAGTCCAGAGTTCAGCTCCTGGGTAGAAGCTAGACACTGAGATTCCTCCCAGTGGGAGGATTTTTTTAAGATTCTAGCATTCCCCCGGCCCCCTAAATTTCAGAGCTCCTAAGCCTAACTATAAAAGTAACTACATTGTCCAGACTAACAAAAGTTTCTCCGATCCTACTTTTTGCCTCTACAGACTACATGCTGTCCCTAAAAAAAAGTTCCAAGTGGTTTGCCAGTCCACCACCACATCACATCACACCTATCTGTTATTCAACAGCTTCCTTAAAGTCTAACACCTGGTCGTCTTTAAAAACTTTCTGATGCATAGCTTTTAAAAACAAAACTCAAGGGCCGCCTGGGTGGCTCAGTCGTTAAGCGTCTGCCTTCGGCTCAGGTCGTGATCCCAGGGTCCTGGGATCGGCCCCGCATGGGGCTCCCCGCTCAGCGGGAAGCCTGCTTCTCCATCTCCTACTCTCACTGTGTCTCTCTCCACCAAGTAAATAAATAAAATCTTTAAGGGAAAAAAAAAAACAAAAAAACAACTCAATATGGACAGCATGTTTAAAGCTAATTGGGTTCTATTAGTATATACCCACTAGCATTGCTTTTCATCCCTAAAAATTAATTAAAAATTAGTAAACTTTATTTTTTAGTTTTAGGTTAAAGAAAAAATTGGAAGTTCTCTACCTTTACCTTCTTTCTTCCTCTGCACACAATTTCTCCTATTATTAACATCATGTATTAGTACATTTGTTAAAACTGAGGAATACTGATAAATTATTATTTACTAAAGTGCAGAGTTCAGTTAGGGGTCACTCTACCTGTTATACAAGTCTACGGGTTTCCACAAATGCAGTGTCACATACCCAGCATTACACAATGGACGAGAATAACTTCAGAGCCAGAACAATTCCCTGTGCTCCTCATAAACACTGGTCTTTTCACTGTCTCTGTGGTTTTGCCTTTTCCCAGACTTTTTTTTTTTTTTAAGACTTTACGCATTTATTTGAGAGCGAGAAAAGGAGAGGGACAAGGAGACTCCATACTGAGCACAGAGCCCGATGTGGGGCTTGATCCCACCACCCCAAGATCATGATCTGAGTCGAAACCACCAGTCGGAGGTTCAACCGACTGAGCCACTCAGGCGCCCCCCCCCAATACATTTTTAAAATTATGGTAAAATACAACAAAGTTTACCATTGTAACAATTTTCAAAAGCACAATTTAGTGGTATTAAGTATATCACAATGCTGTACAACCATCCCCATTATCCATTTCCAGAACTTTCCATCACCACAGACAGAAGCTGTACCCATTATACAAGAACTCCCCATTCCCCCACTCCCACTGGCCCTGGTAATCTCTATTCCATTTTCTGTCCCAGTGAGTGGGATCACACGGTTGTCCTTCTGTGTCTGGCTTATTTCACTTCTCACGTCTATACCACAGCAGGTATTAGAATTGTATTCCTTTTTAAGGGTGAATCCCATTCCCCTGTGCATACCACAATTTACTTTCCGTCCATCTGTTGATAGATACTTGGAATACTTCCTCTTTTGGCTATTCCGAACAAAGCTGGCTACACTGGCGTACAATAATCTGAGTCCCTGCTTTCAACTCTTCGGAGTCGAAACCCAGGAGCGGAATTGCTGGGTCCTACGTAACTCTGTGCTAAAATCGGAGGAACCACGACACCCTTTTCTACAGTCGCTGGCTGCAGCACTTTTCGTGGCCGCCAGCCACGCGCGGCTGTGCCACCTGTCCCACGCCCTCCCCAACATCTGTGATTTGTCTGTGCTCACAGCCATCCCAGTGGGTGTGAAGGGGGACCTCACTCTGGTTTTATTTCCTTAACTCTGATGGCTGATGCGCACCCTGCGATGTGCTCACGGGCCATCGGGGTGCCTTCTTTGGAGAAGACCCACTAAGTCCCTTGCCCGTTTGTAAGCCGGTTGCTTCTGTCGCTGAGTGGCAGGAGCTCTTCCCATAATGCAGACACCAACCCCGGGCCGACTCCGGGATTTCGTGTCTCCCACTCTGGGCTGCCCTGCTCGTTTTTAAGCAGCAACAATGACAAAAGCCCACGCCGACGAGGGACAGTGAGAACCCTGTCCCGGGCTGAAGCGGAACGAGCGCCTCCGTCGCGGAGCCAGCTCCCGATCTCCCCGTGGTGTCTCGCACGGTGCTTCCCGCCTCCCGCAGACCATGCGGGGCTCGGCCCCCGCCCCGAGGCCCACCCCGCCGGCAG